CACTTCTTGATGTTTGTATGTTCATGATTTGTATTACTATTGCTATTGTTACTGCAGTCTGTATTGACGTCAATCTCCTCAAACGACATTTTTACTTTCATTCAACAACTCACTTAATTTATCGCTTGTGGTCCTGCCCATTAGTGTAACGCCCTAAATGACTTAATTCTCAAATGTGAACAGTCCGAACAACGAATTACCTTTGTTAGTCCTGCCGTTTGATGAAAATTGAAAGGTTTTTTTGTCAAAATAACTCTTCAAGGAATAATCTATAGAGATTTTCATTTCAATTTCTATTCGAATCGGAGCAACTGGACAATTCAACTTATTTAAACCAGCAATAATTTTCCATTTCTGATTTTAAAATGTTGACTTCTCGAAGTAATATTTGAATTGTCGTATCGCATTATGTCATTATAGAGAATATAATCTCGATATATTTCCGTATCGCATTCACTAAATTATTCTCAAAGTCTAATCAAAACAATCACAAAATATCGCTTTACCGTGTTAACTCCATTGAAAAAGCAACATTTTGATAATATTCATTCATCCATTGTCAAAAGCATCAGTATATTATTTACATTGAGACACCATTTGGATCAGAGCAAAACTTTTCGCACTTTCAAAGAATCTTCTATTATTTATTCACTGTCAATTTATTTAGTTTAGTAGATATTTTTATTTGAGTTACTCAGCCGAATAATACAATATGATAATGGCGGCGGATATATGATACAATAGAACAATAAAATATTAAAGATCAATCCTGGCTACTAATAATCTTAACACATACGCCTTAATACATTTTGAAACTTTAATTAATAATTAAAGCAGGAATTCAATTCTTTGATGGCCACTCCTGGCCGACGATATCTTCGATTGATTATGACGGTTGTACTTTCACAGATTATCCGACTCCGCTCTGTTGATACGATTGCCTTCTTTTATGTCCATTGTTCCGCCTTCCTTTCTCTCATTCCTAAAAGATCATATTTGTATGCAACATCCTTTGGTACAATTTCTCAACTTTCATACAATGCCTTTGTTTTGGCTATTAGCATGCATTTATCTGAATATGCAACAAAGACGTTGCATTTCCCATGTGTGCATTTTTTATGTTTTGATTTGCACTTCTCATCAAAATGGTGTTTTGAGAATTCTAAAAGTACAGTGTTCACAGTTTTCAATTTAGCCCCTCGGCGCTAGCTATCCTTGACCGTCATTTTATACATGTTGTTTTTGCATATATGCATCCTCTGAACTAACACAGATCACATCAAATTAGACCGATAACCCTTAAAATTCAATCAGCCCAGTGATATTACCATATACATTCATTATTAAAAGTTTCATTAAATTTACATATTCATTAAAATCGTGACTATCGTTCTCAACTATTCAATTTCATCGATATTTTTTGATTTTCATTCATCCCATTCAGTTGTTATCCATATTTTCATTCCAGCAAACGATTCCTAACATTGTTGCCCACAACAAATGCAAAGATGGTGTTTAATTTCGGGAACAATGATTTTGAAACGAATTATTTGGAAATTAAACCACTGGTTGATTTAGGTTCACAAACTCGAATCCTACCAGTAAGTTTATGACATGTTGAATTCATCTCCATTTATGGTTATTTTAGTGTGTTTGTCAATTTTGATTTTGAGAAATTAAAAATTTGAAAGTTTTTCCAAGCTCTGACGAACTTTTTCATGCAATTTTAGGACGGTTCGAGAGTGGCAGCTTTTCTGGAAGGGGATCAGCTGAAGGAGTGCTGCTTCGATGATGCACGCACTATCAAGCAGGCCGTAGAGCGTGGCCTGAGGGTGTCGAAAAATGGACCGATGTTGGGCTATAGACAACAACATCCTGATGGTAATCGGCCATACGTTTGGATGACCTACAAAGAGGCATGTGTTCATCTATGAAATGTTGACTTTACCATTCAACTGGTCAATTGTAAGGAAAAATTGTTGGGAAAATATTCGATTTTTACAAATTTCATGCTGCCCTCTAAAGGTTTCCATCAGTTCCTTTCCACAATGATCAGGTGATTTGAGACACTCAAAACAGAGCAACAAAAGTAGTTCTGGTGATCAGCCAACAAGGCATGCATCATGTATTATTGATAAGAACAAGAAAAACTGGTATCAAAGATCACGTGATTGAATATGACAAAGCGTCAACCAGTTCATCGTGAAATAATTCTAAGTGCACGGCATGTTTCAATGGTCGTTTCGCTCAAACACCATTTAAATTAGTTTGATTCTCGCAGTAATATCGTCTCGTAACCACTTCAGGTGATTGATCGCTCGTATAACCTTGTAACTGGTCTCAGAAAGCTTGGTGCAAAACCAGGTCAAGAAACCTTCATCGGTATCCACGCAAAAAACAGACCTGAAGTAGGTGGCAAATTTTAGCTGACAGTTTTGAACAGTTGAAGAAAGATCTAATTATGACACGTAGAGCACGGCAAGACTGAACTGATCTAATTGTGATCTTTGGAAGGAATGTCTTCATTCGAAACACAAGAAAAAGGATATGAATGAAATTTTAAGAAAGCATTACATGCAATTTTCTGCCAACATCTTCAGAGAGGCTCTTATGAACACGCAAAAAGCATGTGTGAACCTCGTTCGTTGTCTGTTCTATCAACGGAAGAATTTTTCTTAAGCTTGAATATGGCACAATTATATTTGAAATATGTTCTTAATTTAAGTGGATTATCTCCGAATTAGCCATATATAATAATCGAAATGTTGTTGTATCATTGTACGACACACTTGGTGAAGAGGCAAGATTACACATCATCAATGAGGCTGGCATCGAGATTGTGTTCTGTGACAACGAACAGAAAGCTTTATGTAAGAATGATTATTTTGTTAGATTTTGTAGAGCTTCAGATATATTCCTTTGCACATTTGACTTCAATTCGTGCATTTAATCAGTCAAGGAAGTAGAAAATGAACGAAAACCTCCATGAACAAATTAGGGTCATCTCATAGGAATCACTGGGATTGGAATGCTTTAGAACTTGCCGTAAATTTATCTCGTTTGCTCGAACGATTGCTTTTTCGACGCAAAAGCTCGAGATGAATCTCATGATCGTCAGAAACCAAGCAATTTCGCGTATATACTATTCAAATTTTGTCGGTTATATCTCTTAAACCCTACGAAAATGTCATTTAAATGAACCAAGCAGTGATCGGATATTGTTGGATATTTTGAAGCTAAAGCAACAAATTATCGTTTTCATTTGATTGCCTCAATGTATGCTGAAGAAAAGTTTGCAGCCTTCATCAAGTCGATCTCATCAACGCCATCGTTGAAACATCTCGTTTTGTTTGAGGTGTTCGATGACGATTTGAAGCAATCTGCTGCATCGCATTGCGTATCTGTTCATTCACTCAACGAACTCATTGAAATGGGCAAAGAGTGCGACAAACAAAACTTTGAGGTATCGAACAATCACTCGTCAATGAATCGCACATGCACACAAAATCATCTGAACTTTTTACATACGTCGTCGCAAGTTGCCCCATAAATTCGTTTTTGTCACATTCTTGGGTGTTCCTCAAATACAAAAATTCGAAATGCTCCATTAGAGAACTATTATATTGTTGATTTTTCGGATATTTTAGAAGAACTAGTCAGATTTTTCGGCGCTCAATTGAAACTTTATGACTTTGAGCTAAAAATTCAACCTTAGATCATAGCAGTGTGATGAAAAACGCGAATATCACTCACTCAGATTGTTTTCAGGATTCAAAACCAAGTGATCTATGCACTGTATGCTACACATCCGGAACCACCGGCAAACCGAAAGGTGTGATGTTAACGCACGCCAACCTGATCGCATGTACAACTATTTTTGAAACATGTCCGCTGATCAGTCTGAATTCTTCGGTGTGTATCAATTCAATTCATTGTCAAACGTGATTCGAAAAACTTGAATATTCTAGTCGAAGAATATCCTGAGATCATTGAATAATGTTCTAAGTGTGCAAACTCAATCCTTGAATAATGTTCTAAGTTCTTCGGTGCCAAACGTCAAACAAGCTTAGTATCTGGGGATGAATTTTTCCCACATTCATCTAACCCAGTGGTTCTTACGTTCGGGTGCTGCATTATCCCTTTATATGAACTAGCAGATCGCCGTTACTTCCCCTATTCAAACAAGAATTCTTTATGTGAACCACTGTCCTCCTAGACCGTTGTGTTGCTTTTCATGCAATCGATTATGATTGCATGAAAAGCTATTATCTATGACACGTTCACATCAAACTGCTTTAAATGGTTTCTCATTCTTTTCAGACGTGTTCTATTCACTCTCATAGCTATTACCTGCGAATATCGTTTTATTGATGAGTTTTTCTCATTCACTTCGTCTCGTTTCACTTCACAGTTCGAATCAATTTCTCATTCTATAGCCCTTACTATTTACTGGATACATTGACGAGTGTTGACAGCCGTAATCAACAATACAGCAATCGAATATTATTGCTCAACAACGTTTGATAGTTGAATGATGAATTATAGAGTGTATTTGATAGAATGAGAATTTGATTTTGATTGTTGAATGAAATGAATGAGAATTTAGCAAAAGAGAACAATTTCGATGATAAAAGTTATGAGAGCGATTGAAACAGCAAGGAAAAGAATGAAAACCTTGTTAAAACGAACGAAAACCCTGTTACGCCCGAGCTAATGATATTGAGAAAATAGGAGGACGGAGAGTGTTGCCATCAACTAACTGCATTTACATACCCGAGTTAAAAAACACCATCACAATGGCGATCTATCATAACAAAACTGCATAACAAAGCACTCCGCGAAATACTATTTTCCCGACCCCCCCCCTCATTTCCTGAATCTCCAAATTATCCAAAATGAGTTTCCAAAACGGATCATTTTCGGTTTTATTCCATTGTTTTGCTGTCAACACAACCTCAGTTTTTCTCAGTAATCACAAATGCTCACAGCTTCACGATCCAATAATCACATATTCAACAGAGCGCCGAATCGACTCATTATAACGTTTCAGGATGTATTCTTCAGTTATTTACCATTAGCACATATGTATGAACGATTGATGGAATGTCAAATGTTTGCGTTGGGTATTCCAATTGGATATTATTCCGGTGATATCCTCAAATTAAATGATGATCTAAAAACACTGCGACCAACCTTATTGCCGTTAGTACCACGACTGTTAACGAGAATATATGATAAGGTATGCCCTTTCCTCATGTTCAAAGAAGTTTTACTGCAAGCAATCCCAGTAGCATTTAATGTTGCTTTTGAAATCTAAGCATACGTTCAGAACCAATTGCAATTTGCAAGTGAATAATTGCAGGTTATTGCCGAACTTGATAAATCGTTATTGAAGAAGACTATTTTCAACTTATCATTGGCCTATAAATCTTTTGAGTTGCAAAGGTTAGTCGGTAGTTCATTATTTCAATAAATTCGGTTGAAGTATTCAAGAAACAAACGAAAGGAGGCAAAACAAACGTGTTTGTGAATTTTATTGATATGACATGCACTCATTAAACTTGTATGCATCTTTCATAAGAGATTGATATTTGAAGGGGTATTGTACGTAATGATTCGTTCGTTGATCGACTGATATTGAAACGTCTTCGCGATGAACTCGGAGGACGGGTTCGTTTTATGACTATTGGCTCGGCACCGGTACTTGGTCGTGTGCTTAGCTTTGCAAGAGCTGCGTTTGGAGCGTTACTCGTTGAAGGTTACGGTACGTTTCGGTTTTTGCCTTTCGTCGAAGGGTTATAACCCTTCCGAGTGCAAGTTGTACATGTAAAGCTTTGTAGAATATGTGTTTTTTTTAAATATTCCTCGATATTTCAGGTCAAACAGAATGCTCGGCTGCATGTGCACTCGGTCTCGAGGCAGACTTGCAAACAGGTCATGTCGGTGTACCGTCAATATGTTGCGCAATCAAATTAGTTGATGTTCCCGAATTGGGTTATTTTGCTTCAAATAATGTTCGTTTCACTCATACCAGTGATTTGGATTAAATGCATGTGAACTGATATTATTTCTTCATTTCACTTTAGTTGTTCATTGCTTTTTGCGATTGTTTGAAAAGAAATGTTCTTTAAGGTAGGTGAAATATGTATTCGGGGATATAACGTCTTCAAGGGCTACTATAAAGATGAAGAGAAGACAAGGGAAACACTAGATGCTGACGGATGGTTGCATTCGGGAGATATAGGTGAATGGAGCAAAAATGGTACGCTTAAAATCATCGATCGAAAGAAGCATATCTTTAAATTACAGCAGGTTTATTTTCCACATATTTTTCACTTCATTCCATACAAAGGATATATTTACTTCAAGATTTATTAAAGACTTTTCGAAAGGAACAAATCCGCACGACAAAGTGATTGCGTCGAATCGTATACTGTTTGAGTGCCTTGATCTATCCGTTTCTGATGATAGATCGACTCATTTGTTTCTGATCAAAAAATGATGATAGATCTCTGGCTATACCGTGCTCTGTTTTTCAGGGCGAGTATATTGCTCCAGAGAAGATTGAAGCAATATACAGCAATTCAAAACTTGTACAGAATATTTTCGTTTATGGTGAGAGCCTGAAGACATGCCTTGTTGCAATCGTGGTACCTGACGAAACGGTAAATGTTGCTTGAAAAAATCCCTCAAAAACACTCCCAATTTTTTTCGATTCAAAAAATAATTGAAATATCAACAATTGCATATGATCACTCAGTTAATAATGATCATCAAAATCTCAGCGAGCAAATCATCTATTTCGATTAGGTCAAAAATTTGAAAATTTGAACGAAATCAACTGAATGAACTTTTATCAGTCACTGAATGTATTTTGAGAATATTTCAAGCTGGAATTTCAGGTGTTACGGAGTATGCTCGGCGTTCATCAGATTGGACTGAAGAACAGCAGCTTCCAGGAAATTTGTTCACATGAAAAAGTTAAGAAAATCATTTTCGATGATTTGATTGAAGTGGGCAAAAAGGCAGGATTGAATTCAATGGAACTGGTGCGCTATTTTATTCACAATTGATTTGTTGTGATATTCTGCGAAAAACTGATTCAATTCTGGAAAGCACAACTATAAAATTAATATCATGTTGCACTTTCTGTCGACTGAAATTTGCATCTGTCGACGTTTTTTTTACAGTTCGCATCGGCTTTCATCAATCCACTAAGCGAAATCATTTCAACACAAAAAGCGATATTACAGATCAAAAATGAGTATAGAGTTAGCGGAAATATTTCAACGGGTGATTACTGGTGAAAATGTCATCAAAATGAAATAAATGCTTCACGTTCTAAATTCTATAATAGCTCTGAAAGAATAAACTATGTGGTGCTAAATTCCCAAAATTGAAACTTCATTAAAATTAGTCTGTATTAATCCAATAAGGAGCCGAACCAAATTCGCTAGTTAAGAGTCATTATGAATTGCAGGTTAAAGATATTTATCTATCATCGGAGGCATTCACCGTCGAAAACGATTTGATGACACCAACAATGAAAAGAAAAAGACCGAATCTGTCAAAATATTTCAATAAACAATTACAAGAGATGTACTCCAAACTTGTGTAGATATGCAATATAAAATAATCAATTATAATTATTCACTTCAAATTGCTATATTGTCTAATGTTTGCTATAAATAATCTTAATTATTGTTTTTTACAACTACTTTCAAGGTATTTCATTACTTCTTACCCCATGATAACATCAAATCAAAAATGTCGGTATGAATTAGGTCTTAATTTAAGTTACGATAAATCTACAACTATTGAATCTTTATCTTTAGATCTTTTTTTCTTGTTAGCCTTAACAGGCCTTCATTTATAGCATTATGCTAACATTTTCATATCTCTTGACTTTAACTTGTCGATTGTTCAAAAACTTTACGTGCATTATGCATTTTGTTGGGCATACAAAACCTTTGTATGCTGAATTTACACAGTTACAATACAATGCGAGAAGAACACCACTATGACTGAATATGGTTCAAGAGATCACGCGAAATCAACTGAATTTTGCAAAGAGCATATTCTAAGGAGTTCTGAAAGCTTCATGGAACGTTCGTAATGATTCCTCAAAGCAGCATTTCATATGTTGTTTCTCAGGTCGTTGATTTTTCTTGAGATTTTTCTCACAAAGGCAAAATCACAAACTTACCTCATAAATCCGTCACTTTACGACCTCTCTTTGTCAATTTGCATTTTTTCAGAGGCATAAGGTGCGTGAATAGATTCGCATAACACAAACTAAAAGTTCCTTCTGACATAATCATCAATTCTGTACATTAAAAAAAGCAAGCAGCTCAGTAAGCATAAACTATACCATACCCCGATCTCATTTTATTGCTAGCATACTATATTCCCAATTGGCATATCATCCAATTTGCCGTTAAAAGTGCCGATTAAAATCACATTCTGTGATTGCTTGCTAGATGTGGCAGTTTCACCACTTAAGGTTTCACCAATTAAATTTGTCACCTGGAATGTAAGATCAAAACAATGATAGAAACGTGAACACACCGCTCTGCAACGACATTTTTGGATGGCAGTTGTTTTGACTGCCCAAATGTCACTGTTGATGTGTTTATTATCAAATCATTGATTTAAAACGGAAGTCGTAAAAAAAGTGCAATTTGATAAGAAACACGTGCATGTCGTATGTGTTTGATGTTTTCGCTATTCGTTCATCTTTCTTAAGACTCATAATAACTGAAAATCAATTACTTTAAGTTCATCCAGTGCAACATTTTTCGTCCAAGCACTGTATTGTCTACAAGCTGGCAAAAGCAACGACGGCTAACGACGTTGTCAGCTAGTGTTTGTCGAAAAGGTGCGTGAAAAAAGTTCACAGAAAGCGAGGAATTTGTTGCTTTGGAGCAAATGAACGGTCTCTTTGGACGAATACGAAACAGTTCGTTTGTTTTTTGTTATTAATTTTCTTTGGTTCCGTCAATTTTTGATTATTTTATCCGCAGTATCAGTAAGTTTCATTTTCGGCAATTGTTATAAGTACCTTACCTCATAAATCTATCACTTTACGACCTTTCTTTGTCAGTTTGCATTTTTTCAGAGGCATAAGGTGCGTGAAAAAAGTTTCTGTTAATTTATGTTTTTTGTTCTGTTAATTTATCTATCACGATTTCATCTACGGAGTTATAAATCGATTTTATCGAGTCAACGGAAAAATTTAGCGAGTGAGATTCTCCTTGAAAGGGCTCATTTGCAATTTTGTTTGTAGCAAACTTGATTCAGTTTTCGATTTATTTAACCAGTATTAAATTGTGAGTATGTACCTATGATGCAAGTATGGAAATCGTAAGCGAAAGCACCGTTTGCAGAGCACAACAATGTCAGTGCACCCGGCATAAATCAACCAGGTTCCTCTTCATGCAACGATGATCCGAAACGAGAACTGAAAATGCCTCGACATAGAAACGGTGAAACAGTCTTAAATGCTGCCAACACAGAGTCAAATGAAGATCTTGGTAATATTTTCTGTTAATTTATGTTTTTTCTGTTAATTTATCTAATACGATTCCACCTGCGCAGTTATGGATCGATCTTATCGGGCCAGGTGAAAAATTCAGCCAGCAAGATTCTCTTTGAAAGAGTTCATTTGCAATTCTGAAACAAAGTGGGTGTTTTTTGCGATTGTTCAGATCAGAGTGATGTGAATGAATTTGATCTTATCGCAAATTTGATGATCGTTTCGATTGTTTTATGTGCAATGCAGGTCATCCGAGCGTCACCGATCACCGCATTGTACGACGGACAGTGATTGTTTATACTCTAATGGAAACGTTACACGATTCATCAGCCCTCGCTTATTTCATTCAGTTCATGGAAACAATTGGTAAGTTATGACTGTTACAATTCATTTTAGCTTACAGCCTTATTTTTTGTATTCCTATAGTAAGCTGCATTCATTCGTTAAGTCGGATTTTGTTTATTCAGCTTCATTATCTTCATGTCGTAAGATAAGAATTTCTTCGTTTTGAATGTTTTAATGCTAAATATTGACGTTTATGTAGAGTGAAGAATCCTATTATTTATGTGTCAATTAGTATTAAATTGATATATAATAAAAAACGTTATCTTATTTTTATAACTTCATCGTTTTGAGGCCAATTAAATTTGGTAAAATTTTGGTTGCACGTCGAAAGTTTCAAAGCATCAGCCGCAACAGTGAGCAGGAACGATGAAGCGTTAACAACAAGTCGGTTCCGCTTACTTTGGCCATTTTTAGAGCAATAGTGTTCGGAGTTATTGCCTTAATAATGAAGTTCTAGAAACATTCTCATCCAAATATAGATGAATGAATTGCAAGCTGAAAATTTTCGGTTTCGTCTTTGCTCATGGTTTTGAAATGAATTAGTACAGGATGGTGTTTCTTAATCATAGCGCATTCCAAGTTATAGTTTTACTCAATGAATTGTGAGTCATTGAATTGATGGACATAATTAAGGTTCAATTCAAATTTCAGTGACAAAAAGTGATGCTGCAAACATATTCGCGAAGTATATTTGCATTGATGCGCCATGTTCGATAGGAATCACCGAGAAGTTGAGAAACGAAGTTATTGGTTGGTTGCTTTATTGTTTGTAATTCACCCATATTTTCATCGTGTTTTGGTTGGTAACTTCAAGTTTGATGTTCAAAGTGCACATAAGAATTCAGCTGAATTGGCAATTATCATCCATAAGTCAAACCTGGAAGACGTTTGATGCCTTCGACAAAATTTTAGTAATTTCATAATAGCAGAAACGAGTTCCAGATCGAATCTGTACACAAGATGGCGTGCTGGATTCGCATTGTCTTGACGCGGCACAACAATTTGTACGTGAAGTCATGGAAAACCGGTTTGTTAATTTGCTTATTTCATCCTTTTTCTTGTATTATCAGTTTTCTGTGTTTTCTTAAGAAATAACAATTGCCACTTTTGCGACCCTTTCACTGGAACTCGATAGCACAGCGCAAAATAATTTCACCATCTGTATAAATTTTTCAAAACTTTCAATTTGTTTTTGGGTTTTCAGATATTTTGGTGAATTTTTGTCGAGCGTCTATTACAAAAAGCATCAGTTGGATGTAATAAGCAGTGGTGCGCTTTCGTTGAATGATATATTGAAAAGTCAACAACTTTTGTGCTCATTCATTGAGGTATTCGTTTTGCTCCGAACATTTCATCGATGGTGATTATAGATTGTGGCTCTTGAATTAGACTGTGAAATTTGAAACTTTCGCGACCACGTCAAATGAAATTTCAGTTTTTGGACGCAGAAGGTGAGCGTAAATTGATTGAATTCATCATTGCTGCCGAAACGTTCGCTCAGCATTTGCCGTCGACAAAAAACAACGAACAAGCCGTCGACGATGCGATGATCATTTATGATAGGTTCGTAAATCGTGATCATTCATCATTTTCAACTCTCATCCCGACCAGCTTTTTCTTTCGTTTTTCCACTACTGTATACTTTATTCATTTCCTCATATTGTACGTTTTTAAAATGCAATTTTCGATTGTCACGATACGATGTTGTTGCGTTTTAGAGTTTTTTAAGTATCAAGTTTCATTTTGATTGATAGCATTTTGGTTTGCAGATATTTTTCGATGCAAGCCACGGAGCCATTGAAATTCGGCGCAAAAATTCGTATTCAAATTGAGGCTGATATTTGTACGGAGTTTGGTCGACCATCGGCAAACTGTTTTGAGACTGCACGTCGTCTAGCAGTCTCCGTGCTAGAGCAGGTTAATCTGTTGGAATACTTCTGTTCTATAAAATGAAAAAGCATCGCAGGATTAGTGTAGAATATGAATGATTTTGGAATTAGGCTAGTACACTTCACGTTCAACTCAACAACCGCTTTTTCATTCATTCCGATTTGAATATATTAAATAAATCAAGTGATTTGTTTCAATTAAAATTTGCATATGAATATTTCTGATGCAGTTACTGTTTGAGTTGGTATAGAGTTTAGCAAAATTCTTCGTTGTATTATTTCATTTTGAGTAGACGAAGTGCTGTTGAATTCTGATCTGTGAGTGTGATGATCATTGAGTGATTAAGGTCAGCAAAAGGAGTAGTATCGAAATAATCTCATGTCAATATTTCAGAGTTACTTGAAGCGATACCAAGCATCACCTGCATTTATGAAATTTTTATATGCACTGATGGCTCAAATCGAGAACAGTGTCGAATTGCCGAATCCGAACAGAAAGAAGAAAACATTCAGTATGTATTTTTTCTTATAGTTCAAAACATAATCCCATTAATGGTGGAGTGGAGTGGTTTTGAACATCTCGTTAATTGGAAACTTTGATTGAGATTCAATGATTTTTTGTTCGATTGCTTGATTGTTCATAAACGTTTCAACGTTAGCAGAATATTTATGCATTGATTTTTCAGATGGTTCGGATCAGTCCTCTGAAATAAGTCTGCCATCGGTTCTGTTCGATAAACAGCCATCACGTCCAATATCTATGGCGAATCATCTCGGCCAGTCATCAAGTGCGTCAACACTTCCGATGGGTAGTACCGAGGAGGATGAGACGTCGTCTCTAGCAGACAGTGTTAACTCATATGGTCCTGGAGGAACACCTAGATCAAGGCATTCCAGAATGTGAGTTCATATGATGTTGTGATGCTCTGTTATTATAAGATCTATTCGATCGTTGCGGTATAATAAAAGAATGTTCTTTTAATCAAATTTGCAATATCAATTTAGTGTGTATAATGTAAGACCGTCAAATTTTAGAGTGCAAATGAATAAATGGAGCGGTCAGTTTGCATAAGACTTCACGCAAATTGCTTGTTAAGTCAGCGTATAGATCTCTAAATGGATTTACTAAAAGCGAATTTTGTTCAGTTCATTTAGAGAATTTCTAGGATTTATCTTTTACGGCATGTGTAATCATTTGCATAATTCATTCAGCGAGAAACAATCTCGTTTATATGAACACTTAATTGAAGGGGTGGGTCATCGTTGGCGATGGTTGATGATTTTGGTCGTTATCGACCGATGTATGATAACAGTTATTCGATGACTGGTGAAGATGGATCGGCAAGACGGAAGCTCAAAAATACATTCGATCGTTATATACGACAATCTATGTCTAAGGTTAGTTTTGGATTGAAATTCATTCAGCATTTTCAGTCATCGTTACGGAAAGGAAATTGAATTCAGTGGTGTAAAATGTAAAAGCGCAGTTCAGATTATTCATCGTGAACAACTTTTTAGGCTCATTCGATCGTCATCAAATTTCATTTGGTTTGTTTCGAAGCGTGCTAATTCTAAGAAGAGCATTTGTCCAGCATGCTGATTGTGAGCTTACGATCAACTAGGCATTAAAAATCCCTGTTGAAGCCGTGAAAGTATTTTTTCCTCTCGAATTAAAGGGAGAATGAAATGAAAACGTCGTGAAAATTAAGTTAGCGCTCGGAGCTGCAGGTATTTTTATCTGAGAAATGAATTTTGATTGATTTCAGGAGGCCGAAGTAGCGGATCAAGTAGCCGAATTAATCATTGCAGATATTCATAATATGGTCTCGTCAAGAAATTCCTCAGGTATAGCGCAATAAGTGTGAGTGTATTACAGCGGATTTGTGATGATAATTAGCCGATGTGGTTTTCTGCTGTTCCGATTCATCCTCCGATGTACATAAGAAGAAAAATATTAAGGGAGCAATTTAGGTCTATTTCGCATTTCATTTGGTCATTTCTGTTGGGTACATCTGATGATATTATCATTTATAACTTGTGTGATATCTATAAATATTTTTTAACTTTTTTTTGTGCAATTCAAACTGTCCTCACTGATTTTTGTTAACTGTTTGAAGTGTTTCAGTTTGTTGTTGAAACACAATCGTCATTTGTCAACGACACTGAGGATGCTTATTGGTGTTGTTATTGGTGTATACGTGACTTTTGATTGGGTATAATGATCATTCCTGGGGATGATGGCATATCGGATGATTTGTCATCATCGATATTCAAAAGAAGTTGGGTTTTGAATTGAGTTTTCCTTCTCATTCGGAATAAGTTGACAGTTTCGAAGTATAGAAGCACCAAAATTTTGAGGAAATTTCACTTGACAGACATGAGGATGTGTTGTTTATTTGAGACTTTTCTGCGTTATTGGATTGAAAGTATATCTAATTACTTTATTCGGAAATTGTTCTCAATTGTTTATTGGGAATTTTTCCTGATTTGTTTATTGTGACAGAAAAATTCCCTCTCGAAAAGTTCGCTAAGGGCGGAGGGAGTAGTGCGTAATCTGGAGATACTGAAGAATTGTTATTTGCTGGGTATTCGATCAAAAATCATTGATGTTATTTATGAATACTGATCGGTCAATAAGCTTTTGATAGTAGAACTTTTGTATTTGATTCATCCGTCTATCTCATCAAAGAAACAGAGCGCTTGTGCAGTGTCAAGTTTTTTGATTAATCCTTTCAAAGAGGAACTTTCAAAAACGATTTGTTCTCCGTTCCTCTCCACTAATGTTCACTTTTTCTCTTGAATGGCGATATGTTTTTCAGTGTGAAGGTTTAAAATTTTGTTAGATTCCAATGTTGAATTAGACTTCGATTTAAATTTACGTTTCCTCGAAGAATCTCAACTGAAGTCTTGTGAATACTCGTTGAATGGAACAAAAAGAAAGTGTTGTGTTGTTAAATATGAAATTATCAATTTTAAATTGTTATTGTTTTCCTCGGATAGTTTTGACAAGTTCCGTACAATTAACTCGTCGGATGTTTGTGCATTTGAAAAATTTCCTTAACATCAGTTATAGATGGTTTTATGAAAACTTCTGTGATGATCACTGCATGATAATCTCTTTCTATTCTTTGTACAAACTGTTATTTGTAATAGTAATTGTAGTAATAATTATATTATTGTTTATTTATTCATTAACGCACAAAATTTAAATGAGCACCATTGTATCGCATTATGTAGAAATTGATAGAGAAATTGTTTCCGTTAACTTATATTTCATGATGTACGCATTTGATAGCGTATGAAATTGTTTGTGATAATGAAGATTTTGAATAAAAAATTACTGATGAATTTTGATTTCTCATTAGATCGCTCACATAGTTGTTATAGATCGTGTACATCGACATGTAATAATACGACCGAAAGTTTGTATTTATTTTTCGTGTATGTTTTTTGCATGGTAATAAAATCTGTTTATAATCGTATCTTTGAGTCATCTGTTCATCTCATCAAAAAACAGCGCTAATACAATGTCACGTTTTTTGATTAATGATTTCAGTGAGGAATTTCCAAAAACCGTTTTCCTCTCTTGATTGGTGATGTGTTTTTCAGTTGGAAGGTTTAAATTTGGCATGTTGAGTTCGATTTCAATGTAAATTCACGTTCCTTGAAGAATCTCAACTGAAATCTTTTATGCACGCCCTGAAGGAACGATTCAGAATGAAATCTTCAGGCATCAGCACGGAAATTCGGTGTCTTGTCTAAACTTTCTGAGTGTATGCGTTGATCATGTGAATTGATTGCTTATCGTTCTAGTTATTTGTTTTTGAGTGATATATACAGCGTCAGTTATCATTAGGTTGATCCTTTAAAGATTTCTCTGACGGATTATGAGCGTCGTAAAATCGTCACCAGTACAAAATGATCAGGGGACCATTGAAAGTGATAACAGGCGAGATGATTTTTGACGTTCTATTGTTCAATTTTTGATATAAATGAGAACTGAGTATAAAAGACTGACTACGGAAAATGATCGCATGGATTCCAAAACTTTATTTTACCATACAAAGTTTTCTGACCTCAAAACCAAAAGTTTATTAACGCCATACTGATGTTCATAATAGACTCGAATCGCAACACGATCATTCAACATTAACTGATCGATGTTTGTAGTAAGAATAATTTGTTGTAAGGCGATTTGTCTCAAATTTCTCGTTCCCGATAGTATTGAAACTGTTAAGATGATTGTATCAGTCTTTAAAACAATGTCATTTATCAGTCAATCCAGTGGTAACAGTATAAGATGATAACAAGTATACAGTGGTGATAAAGATAACTAACGATATTCAGTGTATTCGATTTAGATCCGAGAATAAAAGTGGTAAAGACATTGAACGAGGAAATGAGCGTAACGAGATTGTTAGTGATGAACGAAACGCTGAAGTACCGTTGATACAGTTCAGTTGTTGTGTGTGTGGAATGCGAGAAAAGTGTCGTTATGGTAACGTTAACGTCACTGGTAGAACGTGAGTGGCTCGACTGCAATTTCATTCCGCTTGATTTCGTTCCATCAACAAATTCTTTTCAATAACCGACACTCGCATTGAATAAAATCAACTTTCACGTTCTTTTGTAATTAGAGCAGTTCAAATGGAGCTCCTAATTAAATCCTCAGTAATATGACATGCTCAAAAATAATTTTGATGAATCATTCAAATAACTTGAAAGTGTGATGTTTAGCGAGTTGTAATTGAGATATCATGATAATGGTTATCATTAACGAGTTTCAAATGGTTGATCGTCAAAGAGATGTCATCGAAATTGAAAAATAAAATACTATCCGCTCGTTTTCTACTTGCAGTCAGCGAAGTGTTCTAATAACCAAACTGAAATGTGCTGTAGTTTCATAGTAATCGCTTGGCAGTGCTTTTATTTCCATTCCAATTGATGGTTTGTGGTATGTGACGGATGAATGCACATATAGTTCTGAAGAAAAACTTTAATTTTTTGTTAGCAAGCACGAAATTTTATTAAGACATTCATATCGATACAAAGAGCAAGTATACTACCTGATGGATCCATTCCGAAATAGAGCTAAAACAGATAAACGACGTGTGGTTGATGATAGTGATGGCCGTGAACGTGGAAGTAATGCGACTTCAAACCGTCAAGGTCGAAATCCAACGGATACCTCAAATCGAACACCAAATATTTTGGATTTTTTTGTTATTGGCGCCTTATGTGCCGTCTGTGGACAGTCGGTTTGCCTCGATGAGGTATGTAAATCAAAATGTTGTTCCGTTCCCAATACTACTATTCTTATCGCTATTATTGTTATGGCAGTCGCGAATAATTTCGTCATGGGCATTATCATCATTTTGAAAATGCATTACGGACAGTGATGTGATCTCCTCGGAAAGGATGCAGCTGCGTCGAATAATTTCAAACTGAGATTTGGAGATAAATAGGAGTGAATTCGAGAATGATAGTTTAACATGACAACATTCTTCAGCTGTGCAGTGTATTCTATTCGAAAACATTTTGTTCAACGTGCGTTATGAGGGAACATCAACATTTCCCCACTGAAATAGTTCGAGTACGTATCAATCAATTATCATTTTCTTTACTGGCTTGTTTCTATAATTAGCTACCACGTTCAAGCATTCCATGTTCATTGTTTAAGTATTTCATATATCGTACTATACATTTTAAACATCATGTAAGTGAGTTACCATAGAAGTATTTCATCAACAGTACGATGCTATAGTCATCTTAGTTATGATGTTTCTTTATCATGGAACGAAAGGTCAATGATGTATCACTTCAGAGTGACTGAGTCAAAATGTTTTCAGCAAATTGAAATGGCACGGAAATCAAGAGAACGACGTGAGGCTGAGAAGAATGACAAAGTTTTGAAGCCGTCAGAGGTTGTTGTTGTTGAAGAAGAAGAAGAAGACGACGACGGTGAACGGGATAGTTGATAGAAGAAAAGATCGAGAACTGCACTAATTATTGTCGTAATACCTCTGTTATAAACTTCATGAAGTTTATTTTGTAAGTATGCTAACAAATCTTGATGGGTTAATAAACGACGATCCACAAAGCCACAAACCAGGTCAACCCTCACATTCTTTCATATTTTGAATTACATTTTCGTTGGAAACATCCTCAAGATGTGGCTGCTACATCATATGCAATAGTTTATTCATTGAATTTCGAATAAAAGCATTGTCACAACTTGAAACTTGCGATATTCTAAAGAATATGAAATGTTTGTTGAAGTGGAAATTCATTTGAAGCTGCTTCATAGGAAGCATCTTGCGTGTGCATATTTCATGAGGTTATTCACAAATGATATAACCTTAAAAACTCGCCATGTACAAACAAGAACGTTAATTGAAATCATCGAATTTATTTATTGGTTTCAAAACAAAATTTTAATGTCAACAGTATGAAAACTTGACTATGAAACATAAGCGTAATAACAGCGACATTAACAATTCAATCAGCAATGAGGATAACTCAAAGTATGATAATGAAAACGACAATAGCATTAACTTAATTTTCACGGTATAATAGATGTAATAATTAATTAATAACATTAATTCAGCATCAATCAATTTGACGATACAATAACATTACAAAAACATTAACTAATTTAACAATATAATAAATACGGTGACGTCGATAATACATCAATTAACGAAGTATCAATCGAATTTGCCTCAACTTGAACAGCATTCCTGAAATTCCACAACATTTGATACTCAACAGCATATTTATAGTCACCGGAACTGATTCCGTGAAAGAATCGGTGACAATAAATAATTTAATAATACAATAAATGAATAAATAATAAATAAGTAATTCGTAATATGGTCACGTCGGTGAGTTGATCTCGATTGAATCGGATTGTAAAGTACAAAGCTTCAACACCTCATTCATACACCAACAAGTAAGCTTTGCCTTCTAATCATTATCACTACAAAGAGCAAACTACGCGTGACAGAAGAGACACTCTCGGATTCATGCACTCTCGCGTTTTCGCATGATCACTCGCACGTGCACAATAGAATTACAATTGTTATCATTTGGACGCGTCGCGTGCAATTCTTTTCGCTTTTTTTGCGTTTTATTTTCAGAACGCATTTTTTTCAAGATTATTCAATTTTGCACAAATTTTTTACGGTGGAGATTTCTTAATACTATGATGTTAATTCAGAAATCAGAAAAATCACACAGAATTCCATTGCTAACGTCATAATAACGATGAATATTCCGATTAATGGCATGTTTTATTCAGTTAAATGAATAAAAAATCAATCCTAAATGAAGAATTTTAAGGGTACGAGCGACGGTCAATGGGGTCAAATGGAGTGACAATTCGCGAAGGAAAACGACACAAGCCATTCGCGGACAGCGTATCGTTTCAACGGATCAAAGGTTAACATTTATTTTCAACGGTTAGTCTTCTTCTTACTAAAAATTTCCTTAGCTGAGGCTTAGCCAACTGAGCTCTCATTTCGCTCCCATTCCTCGCAGCTGAGTTCTGTCCGCTGTGTGTGCTAATCCGCCCAGAAAATCCCCAAATTTCAACCGATTCAAAGGCTAAATCTCACTCTTAAGTTCTCGTGGCTTTAAATGAATTGAAATGAGCGATATTTGCAGCCTCTCTCGGTGGTTTTTTGATGGGAGGCATTACGGGGAAATGATTCTCTTCTCCAATCCGCCCCCGGGGATATCAGCGGAGTTGCTCATGGGTGAAGGGTTAAACTGGAGGGTACGCATGTTGGCCGGTTGAAATGGTCATCACACTACGAATCGCCGTTACGAGGGGAACCCGGACAGTTTGCCTAAAAACGTTTCGCCTAACAATAAGGACAGTTTGCCTATTAGGCAAAATATTCATTGAAAAACCGTCCGTCTCAGGCAAACTGTTCTTATTGTTAGACAAAACGTTTTTAGGCAAATTGTCCGGTCACGGAATGCAACACATCCTCTCATATTCGGGCCCACTCCTATAATGAGGGTCTGCGTCTCATTAAGAAAATTCCGCCAAAGGAGATTTGAGCAAACCAAAACAGAACAGATGAAAATAACCAGTTATTAATACGAAAATTTGAGACGCAGACCCTCAATATTCCGGCGGGCATAGATGAACGAGACAGTGAATGAGTGAAAAGACATGCGTTGTTAAGGATTTGATTGTTCTTTATACAGATAGTGGATTGATTATAAATCATCTATCTGACGATTTATAATCAATCCACTATCTGTATAAGATCATGATTGATTGATTATAGATCATGCGAGTGAAGTTGGACAAAAAGTTCATCCTAAAGGTAATCGTTAGAGAAATTGATAAAGTTTGAATCACTGCATTAGATTATAGCTAATGAAAAAAACCATAGCCCAGAATCGAGGGGGTTCGAATATGAGAGGGTGTGTTGCAATTCAGTTATGGTGCAGGTGAAGAACTGGAATTAAATGCATAGTGATCCTAGCGAAAATGGGAACAATAAAAACAGCAACAATAACGACAGAAATACTTCTAAGCGAAAGTAATATCTACTAATTATCTAAAAAAAGTAATATCTAAAGCAATATCTAAAGAAATACATATAAATTAAATACCGCATACGTAGATGTCATCTGCATACCGAGATGACTGATAAATCAAAAGAAAAATAATAAGAATTTCCTAAAATAAGGCACTATTAATTAAGTGAACCATACGCACACCTACAGTTAGCTGCCATCTGATAGGTATTGCATCATTTACTTTCCATAATTTTCCTATATTTTTTTCAAAAACTAATGGAGAAATTGTATTTCATTTTATGAGTCCACTCATATTGTTTTTTAAATGTTCTTTAAAATTATCTTTAAAAAATTACCTTCTTTTGTAGAATTTTGTTTTTTTTAATATTTCTATGAATACTTTACGGGTAATGTGATTGTAATATTTGATCTCACTGTTATGCAAAATAGTGGGTGAATGCTGAAATCTGTTTCGTATTTATTACTTTTTTTCTTGTTTGTAAATCTGTACCTCAATAACTTTGCTCTACAACGCCTACAACAAGGACCGACAACCAAAAAAACAACCAAATTCAACCAAAAAAAATTCCAACAACCGACAACCAAAAATGACCTGAAGATCCGACCCTAAAGGCTAGCTACCACTGAATGAAGACTGGGGACCGAAATATAAGTGTTAGAAGAATATGAGAAATATCGGATGGTATGAGCCGTTATTGGGCTCATGATTACGTTAATTACACCGCTGAGGTCACTGCAAAATATTGTAACATTTCATTACTCACTGTTTGCTCAGTGAGAGTAAGCGTCCCAAAAATTTATACTGTTAATTGTGAATATTTTTGGGCACCTAATTCCACCCCACATGTGAAGAGGAGTCATAGGGCGAGTAGCATGCCAGCTCCTCAGGTGGGGTTCTATTAAGCAGTGACCTCATAAGCTGGGAAACGGAAATACCAAACTTTAGACCGGACATTATTGCTAATTGAATATCCCTGCCCCAACTGAAAAGATCCTAAATAAATCATGAAGACCTCAATGTGTATCCTCTCTTAAATTCAGTGGTAGCAGCCTAAAAAATGGATATTAAACAGTCACAAACAGCCGCAACAATCATCGCATCGGGAAGATCACAATATGGATTCAACAAACTGAAAAAATACGAATATAAAAAATGAAAAAGATTTTAAAAAAGAAAAATAAAGATCCAAAAATAAAAATAAAAATGAAAGAATATAAAAATATTAAAAAAATGAAAATTAAAAAAAATAAAAATAAAAAATAAAATAAAAACAAATAAATAAATGAAAATAAAATGTAAAAATAAAATAATGAAAATAAAAAAAATGAAAACAAATGAAAATAAAAATAAATCAAGTAAAAAACAAAAAAAANAAAAAAAAGAAAAAAAATTCAAAACCAATGTTATGTGTTTTCTGATGTTATGTAATTCTTGCCATCTAAATAATGTTCTCTATTTTAATATGCGTGCAAGTTACAGTTTATTGTGATGTCTCCTTCAATTGTATCCACCTCAGCTATAAATCTTATATGATTATGAAGTCTACTTCATTCAACTGTTAACTACTTCATGTCACTCGTAATGTAATGATAATACGGAACACTTATCGTGTTAACCTATGAAGATGGCAGCTAGCTATAAGAAGTTACTGCAAAAGTATCAGTTACAATAATAAAATCATGAATATGAGGCAAATCAGTTTATGACACTGATTACCTCAAATAATAACCAAAAATGGATAATTAAAATAGTCAATATAATACACAGTGGATAAAAAATGCAATAATCCACTGAAAAATCCGACGCAAATGGAAAAATTTGAGATGAGAAACTCAAATAAAATGGGTGGGGGAAATAAGGAAATATGCAAATTAGCAGAGAAATATGCAAATGAGGCGGAGCTAGTGATATGCAGATGGCACTACGTATGCGGTAAGAAGTTGCCAAAAGGCGACCAGAGGGGACTAAGAGATTAGGGAAGATCGTATGTTCCTAACGGCGATTCGGCGATGATGACCGTTTCAACCGGTCGGCATGTGCATGGTACAGTTTAGCCCTTTGCCCATGAGCTGCTTCATTGGTATTCCCGGGGATGGCTTGGGTGAGGAGGATCATTTCCCGGTAATGTTGCCCGATAGAACCATCGCGGGAGGATGGGATTGAACTCATTTGGATTCGTTTAACCCGAGGAGGGAAAGGGTGCGGTTTGGCTTAGGATTGGAAGTAATTTGCTGATTTTAGGACGGGGAAGTGCGTGTAGGGAAGTTATTTGGTTGAGAGGGTGTGGAATGAGATGGGGAGTAGGTTGGGTAAGAAATTTTAATCAAAATTCCTTTTTTTTCATGCAAAATAAGCACGTCTTACGTGCTTATTACGAAAAATTTGAAGGGAGGAGGCGAGAGGCTGTCAATTTTTTTC